TCTCCCCGCCGCCTAAGTGCCTCACAGAGGCAGCTGCTGAGCCGTGTGACAGGTAGACGAAAACAAGAAGATGGGTGTTTGGTGAGGCAATGACATGACTGCTCTCGCACGCTGTGCTCGCTCGACGTGATGGAAAGGCGTTCTTCAAGGATGGCTTCTGGACACATGTTCTTTATTTCAAAATCGCGTGTCAGTGTAAAGATGCGCTCTTCGGATAGCGTGTGCCCCCCCGCCGGTATTGGTTTAAGTGTGTGAGGAAGAGGGAATTATTATTTTTTTTTAAATGCAGGAAACAGTATCATGGAAACTCTCCCATGCACTGTCACCTCTCTCCCATTCCTCTGTTTGGCCCAGTTGTTTCAAGGTGATCTTTATATACATACCCCCCCTTTAAACAAGTAGACGCTGTTGTATGTATTTCTTATTTCAAGACAGGCCCACAATCCATTTGCAGCTGCAACAACGCCGCTCATGCTACCGCTTAGAATACAGACATGTAATAAAAAACACACCCATGGCTTTTAGCCAGTTAAGGTAATCGGTGATTACTGGTCCCCATGATGAAGCAGAGACAATGGAGGCTCTCGCGACACACCTCTCTCTCCGCGGGATGAGGCTGATCCGGAGCGCGGAGACTTCGGCCACGAGGGTGCGGAACAGACTGGGACCATTCCCAGGGACGCCGGATCTATCGAAATCAAACCAGGGGGAGTTGAACCGAAAAATGAAATCGCGATAACACAAACAATAAACAGAAGCGATACGATCGAAAATGATAGGGAGGTTTTTTTTTTTTTTGGCCAGGGCACATAGACGCAGGAAAATTGAAAGGAAATCTGTTGGGTCATGTTGTAAATGATTTATTAGAATTAAAAAATATATTTATGCGTGCATGCTTCATTCATGGAGATTTAATTAAAACTGAGAAGCACATGAAAATAGTCGAGTTAGTTTCTTATTAAAATATATATTATATATATAGAAATTCAGCGTCCAGGGCAAAAGCAACGCCCCTGATAATGGATCAGATCAGAGCATACCCAGTTAAAGCCAATGAAACAGCTCTGTGAGATGTGTGTGTGAAGGGTACTCATCCTATATGACGAAGCCGGTGAGCACAGTAGGCTGAAGGTGTTAAATCCTCCTAGCTGTGAGGTACGTCTTGTCCAGCAATGACATCAAACCGCTATGACATACAATCCCAGCAGCTGTCGAGCTCGGGATGTGTACTTACGATATATTTCGATACAGAATAATCATTGCGTTTTCTTTGGATGCCTTCATCTAGTTTGCCTTAATCTAGTTTGGCGCTTCTGCTTATACATTGTCGCGTCTTTGAAGATCCAATGTCATATTTTGGGTGTATATATATAATTTGATCCTGATAATACATTTAGAAATATCGTGTTTCCTACAAAAAGAATGGTCTTTGGACTTCATTTCCCAAGTCACCCTCGCCAGACAAATACAAGGGCCCAGGCCCCCTTTCGCAGACACTCCTTCCCCTACTTCCTGCCACAAAAAGGACTCCATTTCCCGGCGTGCCATGGGGGGCGGTAGTTCCGGCCGCTGTCGGGTTTGTTGTGTAGAGTCAGGCAGTCAGTGATTTGGTAAGATGGCGGCTGCGGCGGTAGTGGAGTTTCAGAGGGCTCAGTCTCTCCTCAGCACGGACCGCAACGCGTCCATCGATATCTTACATTCAATAGGTAAGCAGCTGGGGGGATTGGGGCTGGGGTCGGGTGAGCTGGACACGGGGTTGGGCTGCGCTCGATTCGTCCTGAGAGGAGCGGACCCGGGTGCATGGAGCAGCCGGGAGCCGGTTATTCTGCTTGCTGACTCACGGTGTGGAAAGACTGGTGGTAGGCCGGGAGCCGGTGGGCCTGTGTACATGAAGTTGCCTTTCCCCCTTCGAAAATGCGTTTTTCACAATAAAACCCGGTGTCGAGCGGCGAGTTTAGGGGGCTGGGCTTGGCTTCGTCGGAAAACGACGGCCGATTTTCAGGATCGGGCTCGGTCTGCGACAGCCGAGCGGGGCGCACCGACAGAGGGAGCGAAATCACGGGGGGCA